TCTGTTTTCACAGACTTGGAGTCTGCATCCCTTGCCCATTTGCGAGCAGCAAATGGGGTGGACAAAATGGGGTGCACACCCGCAGCACACACCCATGGGTGTCCATGGGCATGGGCCACCATTCAAACCAATGGAGCTTGAATATTGGTGATTTTCCATTTTCACAGGGAGTCCAGAACAGATCCCCCCGCAAAAATGGAGGGGAGACTGTACTGTATGCTTTTTTAAATGTGCTTAATTTAAGGGAGAAAAAATAACAGGATCAAAATATTTAGCACTAATTGAAAATTCTACATTGAGATTTAAAAAGGTGAATTCTTTGCAGACCCTCACTTTTCTGAAAGTCTTCAATGGAATCAAATGTAGAGGATATTTTTACCAACTTTGAATTTTAAAATGTTTTTTCCAACCTCAGTGACAGACATATTGTTGAGCAAATGATAGGATGATATTCTATTTGGTAATATTTTGATAAAAATAACGAGAAGAAGATAAACATTCAGACAGTAACATAAAATGAAAATCCTTTATGTTCTAGAAAGGATTTTCATTTTATGTTTCTGTCTGAATGCTTATCTTCTTTTTATTTTTATCACAATATAATAATAATACTAATAATAATAATAATAATAATAATAATAATAATAATAATAATAATAATTTCTATCCCGCCCCTCTACTGAAGCAATTGGGGTGGCTTACATAAAATATTACCAACTAGAATATTATCCTATCATGTTTAGTCTCAAGCAGGAATTTATTCTACACTCAGTGCGCCTTTAATGTTGTCCACTTCAGTTGGTACTTTCTTCTGGTATGAATATAACAAGGTTTGTTATTACTTCTGAACTATGGTTTGTACCTGCCTCCAAACCTGGGCTACAAACCAGCTTTAATCCATGACTGGATTTTATTTCCTGCTTTATGTTGTAAGTACAAAGCATAGTTCACCAGTTCAGATGCAATGACAACCCATCTTTTGTTCAAACAAAACAAAATAAATAATCTGAGTAAAATGTGGGGAAAGAGTGAAAGTGTAAGTGTATGGGTCATTCCTGTAGCACCAAACTGTGCTTTGTAGGAATAAACCTATACTGCATGGTATTTGTTCCACAGATGCTAAAAGAGCAATAATATAAAGTATGCTTTAAAAAAACCCTCATGCTTCTTTGATGTTTTTGCTACTGGTCTTTTAAAATTTGTATTTCAAAATGAAGCACTAAACTTCCTGTACAACAAGTGACTGAAATGTTGAACTGGGATGCAGAAGATTAAGGTTCAAGTCCCCACTGAGATGTATAATTTTGTTTTACTTCTGCACTGTAAGAATTGAGAACCACACCTTTTTCCCCACATTGTAAGGTGGGATATAAATCAAATTAAATCAATATAAACCAATTTTTTAAAAAAAATAATAAACTCACTATATGTGACCTTCAGACAACCATACTCCCAGACTGACTACAAAGTGAAAGCACAGTTTGGTGCTACAGGAATGACCCATACACTCACACTTTCAGGTAATTATGAGGCTAAAGTGGAAAGAAGGAGAAACATGCAGAGTGTCTTGAGTTCTTTGGAAGAAAGCCAAGATGTAAATGAAATAAACCAAACAACTTCTTATGGCTTGTCTGTTTGAACTTCAGTGGCAATCACCTGAATTCTAAAACTTTCACAGAAAGAACAACTCCTGATCCCACTCTCTCCCGAGCTCCTTGCAATCCTTACAGAGCTTCTCTGGATGATCAGTCTCTTCCTAAGAGACATTTAAAGTGGTGTCAAGCTGGTATATTTATGTAGCGTAGATATATTCAGTTATGGATGGCATATCTGGGACATCCAGGCAAATGGGGAGACAGGAGATGTTCTTTCTGTGAATTTAGAACATCAGAATCCAAGGGATTGGAAAGTATTTTCCTCTCGCATAGCAGCCTACTCCATGCCTCATCCCACATTATTGCAGAGCTCTCCTCCCCCAAATCTCCAGACAACCCTTGTAGGATGTGTAGATAACTGTATGCATATGCAGATGGAACAGGAACTTTTCTTTCTGTGAATTCCTTCTATTTATCTTAGGACCCAGGCCAGTGATGAGTTGAGTGGAACATAAATTTCCAATGCACCAGAAGAATGACCTTAGGTTTGGAAGGTAGTCCTTCAAACTGTTTTCCAAAGCTGTGATCCAAAGCAAGACAAGAATCATTTTACTTATGAAAAAAAAAAAAAAACTGCAACAACTAGAGAGAGATAAGTGATGACCCTAACAGATGTTGGAACCATCACGAGTAGTAAGACTGAATAGGGCAAAAATCAATCACTGGATCCAAACTATCATGTAGCAAGCTTTTTGATACATACCTTTCAAAACTTAAGTTAAAAGATATGGGTTGAGATCTTATTAGCTCTGATGGAGAATAAAGCTCCAGAGGCATATTCACAAAGTGATGACATTCTGATGGCCATTCTGGGCTGTTGAGTTTGTGGCAGGGGAGCAGAGCTGTACCTGCGCATTGGACTGATGTTTAAGCTGTCCAGTTGCCCTGTGGGCAAACGGGGAAATGCTTATGCAAAAGTGTAATTGATATGTCCTTATGCAGGAGTGTAAAAAAGAATAGACCCACCTGTGTAACTACTGGGGTAATGTCCAAACAGTTTCCTAGCAGTTAGGATGATGAATGTAGTTGATAGAGAATAAAGAATGATAGAGAAGTAATCTTAAAATGCTATTGCTGCCAGTATTCAGTGGAAGTAAATTTGATTACTGAAGTTATTTAGTTAGAAAAAGTAGTATGACTCAAATAACTTAGAGGGAGGAGAAGTGAGGATTTTTGCCCTTCCCTATAGACTCAGGCAAATGCAAACTGCTGCAGCCTCTCCTGGCTTGCATGGTGTTAACTTTTCCCATCATAACCACATTCTGAGGTTGCTTGGTCACACACACCTTAGTTTTCATCTGTGAACTGCTACAAACATAAATGCTCATATATTTGCTGTATTCTCATTACCTTAGTAACTTTGTCCCTCTCTTTTTAAATGTCAAAATTATATTTCTAAATGTTTGATGTAAGTTCTAAGTTGCTTCAATCGTAGAAATTTGGGACTGAAGGGAAATTTAATGGAGTGGGAGAATTCTTACTGTGGGAGGAAATGAAGGCATAGTTATACGCCTGAATGTGGAAACATCTTGGACAAGGTTCTAAGCAAGGTTCTTCCTTCCAAAGGAACAAGGGGAACCTGGGGAGAAATTGCTCCAAGTTTGTTTGTGTGTACATACCTCCAAAATGCCTGTCAACTTAAGTGTACCCATGAATTTCGTAAGTATTTCCTAGGCAAAAAATACTCAGAGATGGTTTACCATGGTTTTCCTTTAAAATATTGTCTACAGAACCTTTTATTCCTTGGTAGTCTCCCATCCAGTATTAACTAGAGATAATCCTGTTTAGCTTCCATGATCAGATGGGAACTGGTGCCTTCTATGTATTTTGGCTTGGTCCATGGCTTTTTTGGGCACCACAATCCAGAGGCACAAGAGAGAAGAAAGAACCAGAGACAACGCTCAAGTGTAAAATCAACCAGGGAGCCTGATAGCCATAGGAGAAACAAACCTACAAGTTATTTCAACAAGAGTTGGGTGCTGGGATATCTGTAAGATGACAAACAAATATCAATCCTATGATGCAAAGTTGCTTCTAGTCAGTTTCAACTTAATGGTGGAGGAAAACAAAGTCTCATTTAGGGTGCATCTACAGAACTGAATCAAATCATCTTTTGATTCAGGTAATTATTGCTGGAAGAGATAAAATAAATTCCCCACTTTATAAAAATGTATCTAAAATTGCAAATCTATCATGGAACTTTCTACATTTATATTATATTTGTCTAATTCTTTTCTTGACTGAATCTTCCTTTAAAAGACTTGTCTTTTCAAAAGATCAAGAAAATGTTGTGCCTTTGGAGTATAATAAATTACTTCAAATGAATGTTGAGCTCTGTTAATTGAAATGACTGCTCTTGGAAAAATTGCAGCACACTTCAGATTAACAGCTGTATTCTGGCTGAACTTTCAGCCTTTGATGGGTTGCCCAGTTGCCTGGTTAATGACCAAAATTCTACACACATGCACACACACACACATGCATGTGGACACACAGAAGAACATACACACACCCTCATACACACACACTCTTGAAATTCTAAACCCAAGGAATTATCTCACAACTACAAAGTGACTTTTTTGTATGGGTATATAACTTCCCCACATAACCAAGTTCAGGGGTCCCCTGACTTTTTGATCTGGGGGCTGGTTTGCTGGCCCCCAGATCTTCCGAGGGGCTGGATGCATGAGTGCATGCACGTGCGCATGCGTGCACGCACATATGTGTTACTCCGGACGCCATTTTGGAAGACAAAATGGCATCCGGAGTCATGCGCATGCACACGCGATGCTGGACACCATTTTGTCTTCCAAAATAGCATCTGGAGTCATGCATATGTGCATGGCGTCGCGCATGCATGCGCACAAGTCCGGACACCATTTTGGAAAACAAAATGGCGCCCGAGTAGTGCACATGCACACGCGACATCGGCAGCCATTTTGTCTTCCAAAATGGCACCCAGAGTCATGCGCATACACGCACAATGCCAGACACATGCGCACGACTCCGGACGCCATTTTGGAAACCAAAATGGCGTCCAGTGATGGGCATGAGCAGCGGTGGCGGTGGCGGCAGGGCGGTGTGCGGGCTGGTAAGAAGGCCTTGGCGGGCCGGGTTTGGCCCACAGGCCGTACTTTGGGGATCCCTGACCAAGATAATACTTCATTCTATCTGCTCATTCCTGTTGGGGGTTTTGTGTGGCTTCAAGTCATTTCCAACTTATGGTGATCCTAAGGCAAACCTATCATTGGGTTTTCTTGGCAAATGGCTTCGTGGGGGGGATGCCTTTGCCATCCTGTGAGGCTGAGAGAATATGACTTGTTTAAGGTCACCCATTGGGTTACATGGCCGAGCAGGGATTCAAACCATGATCTTCAAAGTCATAGTCCAATGTTCAAACCACTACACCACACTGGTAACAAATCAAGTGCAACATTACAGAATATTTGTGCAACTGAATTCTTAAATCCATGGAGCATAAATATTAGATGTAAGGTGAGAACTTTATATTCAAAGTATAATTGTATCCCAGCAACTGTTTAAGAAGCAGATGTATTTTTCATTAGTCTTTTGAGCTTTATTTAATAGGTTAATCCACAGAAGAGTTAACTGATTGAATTCATGTGGACTAATTTTCATTAATAAGGCTGGGAGTTAAAAGTGGGCTTTTTGTTTGTTTTCTTGTCAACTACTTCTGTTCTGGTATACTAGACTGAAATTTTAAATTTATGAGTTAGTAAGTGATGTATGAGAAGCAGATGAAAAGTTAACCAGAAGTTCCTAGCCTAACTGAAAATGTAACTAGAAGTTCTTAACCCAGTTGCCATTGTTTGCCATGGTGTCTGAATTAACAAACCATAGTCATGGCCATTATTTGCCTCCAGAGGTAACAAAGAGCATGTGCAAATTTTCTATGAAAAGAAAGAAGATCAAGGTAGATAGACAGCTTTTCCCCAGGCTTTGGATGTATGTTTTAAAGTTTAAACTAGGGTAGGAAAACAGTCAGCCTCCAATTTTTTTCATGATAATTCCATAATCCCTTTACCACTGGCCATGGCAGCTAAAGCTTCTAGGATCTGAAATCCAAAATATCCCTACTTCTAATTTAATTCATACATTGTAATAATATCTGAATCATACCCATAGTGGAGCTCCACAAGGAATAAAACATTTCTTTTTAAAAAAGAAAAAATAAGTGTTTATTCATGGGGACTAAAAATAATGTCTGTGTGCACAAATATAAAACATTAAGGTTTTTCTCATGAAATGAGAAAGTGCTAATAAAGATGGTAAAGAATAATTAAAATGATAACTGAAATGAAGAACACTACAAAACATGTACCCAAATTCCTAAAGACAAAATGTCTGTGTTTCTCTTATAACATATTCACTTTATATTTTTATTCATTTTCTATTTATATCTCACCACTTGGTAAGCTATCGATTATGAAAAAGCCCTAGAATATTAAATATAATATGCATAAAACCACAATAAAACATCAAAAGTTAAATTACAACATAAATAAAACCACATTTAAACATCAAATCAACTGCAAACTACTAAACAGCAGTTGTTCGTGGCCTACAGTTCCTGAAGCCTTCCGAAACCAAAAGCATTTTTGAAACCTTTTGGGGGAATTTAAAAATATTTGGTGGAATTGTTATCTGGCAAGCTTCCTTACAAAGGAAATGCCATAGTGAATGAAAAATCCCCAATGCTAGAAGCCAAATTTGTACAGTTTGGACATTATCTTCATTTTATTAACTTTTAGAAAAATAAATATAAAGTTATAAATATTATAAATGTTAATAAAATGAAGATAATGTCCAAACTGCATTAGCTTAGGCCAGGAGTAAGCTGAGCACCATAAATGACCAAATGGTAGACAGATCCAGTGAGGACAGGGGTTTAAGATAGGACAGTGTAATCATTTCTCGTCCTTGTGGAAATATATCTTGTCCAGTTGTAACATACCTTCTCAGCCCTTTACCTATATAAAAGAAGAAAGAAGAAAAAGAAGGTGAAATCATGTAACATTTTAGAATTCACTGATTTTCACAACAACTGCAATGATAGGGAAATTGCCCCTTTATTCCTGGAAGAGACAGTCAGTGCATTTTCCATTACTAACATCTAGGTCATTGCCACTGTGCCTCTTTGTTAAATTAAGTCATCCTCCAGAAGACAAATGATCTCTTGTTTTAAATTTCCTGACTATAATGTCTTCAGTGGTTTTGTGAAGACATTTAATAGGAAATAGAGCAAGATCAGAACACATGTCACTTCTTATGTTTCCCCTAGAATCATTATCCACCATTATTTTTTAATCCATAACATAAGGGTGGAAACATTAAAACAGTATTGCAAATACTGAGATATCCTGATATAGGGTAAGATATAAATATTCCCTAGTATTCTGCATCAGCAACGTAGGGTCAGAACAAACAGGCATGAAAGAGCTGCTTGAGTCTACTTTGGTCAGAAGTGGGTCAGAACCTTGCTGTCCACACAACCCGCTCTCAAGGTGACTGCCACCACCAGGAGCCAGATTATCCCAGCTCCTTTTTGCTCCGTTGAAGCTTCTGGCCACTTTGGAGATGTGCGTCATTTAATCGGTTTGCCTCCAAAGCGTCCGGAAGCCATTTCATTTGGCCTGTCTGTTTCACCCCTTAGTTAACTTTGCTTCTCCTGGCCTGACAACCTCCCTCCCCAAACCTGATGGAAACATCATTCATCTATGCTTCAGTCACCAACAGAATGGAGCTTCTTTGGAGGTTTCTAAGCAGAGGCTGGATGGCCATCTTTCAGGAGTGATTGTCTGTTCCTGCATGGCAGGAGATTGGACTATATGGCCCTTGGGGTCTCTTCCACTCTAATTCTACGATTCTATGGCCTCCTTTCCCCCATACAATTTATGTCCAGTAAAAAAGGTTGGGGTGGAATTATGATCTTGGCAATAGTGTCACAATTATCACTGAGTAGCAATGATGCATATGAAACAATTACCAAGATTTACTCATCTGCAACTGTTCCTGATGTAGAATACTGAGCTTTTAAACAAAGAGAGGGAGACATAAAATTTCTTATTATAATAAAATAGTAAAAAGTGGTATTTAGTCATTCTAAAAATAGCGATTCTTGTCCTGTCTCTGACAGGGGGATGTCAGCAAGAGTCTCACTACCACTTCCAAGGATATTGGGAAGCCTGTGCTTCACAAAGGATGGGAAGCAGAATAAAGCCATGCTGTTGTCTTCTCCGGAGGCTGAGAGCATGTGATAGTCACCCAGTGGTAGGGCTGGATAAACAAAATTGCCTGTCTGCCTGTCTGTCTGTCTGTCTGTCTGTCTGTCTGTCTGTCTGTCTGTCTGTCGAAAGAGTAAAGAGGGATCCAGTTGCCTTATCTCCAAAGGGATGGAATTCCAGTCTGGGGGCAGCCACTGAGAAGGCTCTCTCCGTATCCTCACCAAACATGCCAGCAGGGAATCCATAATAAAAATCCTACAAACCTTAGATAGACAGAATCAGAGAAAATGTTACATGCATTGCCTGGTGCTTCCATCGCACAGATAGCCAGTAAAATTCTTCTTCAGTGTGATGACTGAATTACTTGGATTTCAGAAAACTAGTGTTTCTGTGAGATTCAACTTCCCTGTGCTTGCTCATGCACTCCCATAAACATTGTTCAGGCATAAATATAATATATTTCTACAATAATGCCACAGATCTCCTGTATAGCCTCCTCCCTATAGAAAACAGAGAAAGGTGAATGTAACTCCCGGAGAAGGAGGCAGATGGCCAATGTTGGAGTCCTCCCTAGTGTGTCAGAGGCAAGCATCAGATAAGGCAGCTATAACTTGTCCCAACCCTGAATATTATCTGGCGTCATCCTGGTGTGTCCCACCCCTAAGTAGAGGATTTCCTATTGGCCTTTTACACATAGCAAAAAAACCTGTTCAGCATTTTCCATTGTTTACAATGAGTAATGGTGCTGTTTATTGTGTCCAGTTCATACTGTTTTGGTTTCTTGTGCTGAGCTAAACTCTAGGTTGCATTACACCATAATTTATTTAATTTTATTTCTTCTTGCTCTTGAGGCAGCTTTTTTTTGGGGGGGGGGG